CTGAGGCAGGCAGAGCTTGCTACATCCCTCCCCTGGGTCCTGGTGCCTGGGTTCCAATCCCGTCTCCACCACTTACTAGTTACATGGTCTTAGGCAAGGACCTTGACCCTTTCCATACCTTAGCCTCCTCACTGAGATGTGGGAATAGTAAGAGTGCCTGCCCTGTGGGACTGCCAGCAGACAGAAGTTAATCCGTACAGGTCACTTAGAATCTAATGATCTCCTCTCCACTGTTTACTACACGCAGTAAGTAGTCATGTCAGTGCCAGCTTTGATGCTGCTGTTGCTGCCTATTATTCCTTCCACAACCACCCACTCGCTGAGGGACGTGGAGCCTGCACATGGTAAGCATTCAATAACTACCTACTACTGTCATTTTTTACCATGATTTCCAGTGCCAAGCTCAGGACCATCTTCAGAAAACTTCATTAAGCCCAGTTTGAAAGAAGATTTCAGCCACAGGTCATTTAGCTCAACACTGTGGTGCTGGTGTCCTGGAGTATCCACTGTCAAGGATAAAGAGCCATGGTTTGACCTGTGATATATCATGTGATGATGGAGACAGAGATCATGGGTCTAACTCACACTGACCTGGTATACGAGTTCCTGTCACACCCAGGATGCTGACCACCCTACCTTTCCTGCCTGTCCCTGTCTTGTCCATCCTTCCAGACCTGCCCCCACCCCTCCAGGAAGCCCTCTCTGGCTGCTCCAGGCCTGGGATTCCTCCGTGCTGTGAGCTTCTCAGCCTGGCCGTCCACACCTCAGCAATGGGCTTTTTGCTGCCTCCAGAACAAGCCACAAAGCTCTGCAAGGGCAGGACAACAGCTCCCCCACCCCTTGGGTCATTGATATCTTCTGGCACAGGACACCCATAAGGCACTGATTAAATAACTCATTCTTGATGGCTTGACTAATTGTCAGATTGGAGGCTAAGAAGAGTAAAGAGAGCTTAGCAATAAAAAGCCTTAGGGATGTTAGAATCACAAAAAAAATAAATAAATAAAATAAAATAAAATAAAATAAAAAAGGTGTCAAGGAAATTCAATGGGTAAAAGATTTCAACAAATTGCTGCTGGAACAACTGGACCCTCATATGAACAAATAAGTTGAAACAACCCTGGACTCTTCCCTTATATCACAAAAATTATTTCAAAATGGAATACATACCTACATGTAAGAGCTAAAATTATAAAACTTCTAGAGAAAGCATTAGAGAAAATCTTTGTGCACTTGGATAAGGCTAATTTCCTTAGGACACAAAAAGCATGAATCATAAAAGGAAAAAAAAATTATAAATGACCTCAACATTAAATTTTTTTCTCCTCGAATGAAACCATTAAGTGAAAAAGCAAGCTGCAGAATGGGAGAAAAATATTTGCAAAACGTATATGATAAAGGACTTGTATTCAGAATACTCAAAGAATTATAACTCAGTAAGATTGACTCAATGCAAAAAATGGGCAAAATATTTTAATAGACACTCCACCAAAGAAGATATATAAATTTGAAATAAGCTTATGAAAAAGATCTTAACATTACTAGTCATTAGGAAAATACACACTAAAACCACAATGATGCTGTTGGGGGAGGCAGGGGGACGGAAGAATTAAAAAGCCCACAATGACATACTACTAATATCCACCAGAATGCTACAATTAAAATGACTGGTAATACCAAGTACGGCAAGGACTTTCAGCAACTGCAACTCCCATACAATGCCGGTGGGAGCAGAAAATGGTACAGCTTCTTCGGAAACAAGTTGGCAGTTTCTTAGAAACCTAAACATCCACATACCATACAACTCAGTAAACTTACCCCTAGGTATTTATCCAAGATTTTTGAAACCTAAACATCCACATACCATACAACTCAGTAAACTTACCCCTAGGTATTTATCCAAGAGAATTTACTAGGTATTTATCCAAGATTTTTAAGGCTTTGTTTACACTGAAAACTTGTACTTGAATGTTCATAGCAGCTTTATCCGTGATCGCCCTAAACTTGAAACAACCTAAACATCCATCAACTGGTAAGTGGACAAAACCAAACCGTAGTACGTCCATACAATAAAATAGAATATTACTAAGTGATAAAAAGATGAATCTCAAAAGCACGATGATAAATGAAAAGCACCAGACATAGTGACATATTATTGTGTGGTTCCATATATGTGAAAGCCTAGAAATATAAACTGTGACAGAAAGCACTCAGTGGTTGCCAGAGGACAGGGCGAACAGAGGAGATTGACTGTAAAGGGACGTGATGGAACTTTATGGGATGGAAATGTTCTGTATCATGATTGTGGCAACGGTTTCATGACTGTATCCACTTGTCAAAACTCATCTAATTGTACATTTAAAATGGTGAATTTTATCATGTAATTTATACGTCAATAAAACAAAGAAACAATGTGCTTTGGGGCTCCCTTCTCTTTTAAGTTTGTTGATTCTAACTTTGAACTCTCTCTGGGATTGCACTTAGAACTGCAGAATTTTCTCTTGTATTTCCCTGGGCTCGGTTTCTGCTGGTTTCAGGAGTTTCTTGAAATTTCTGCTGAACTAATAATGCCACCTTTTTCTGATTTTCTAACTATGGTAAGAATTACAAAAACAAATCACCAAACCAACAACCCAGACCTTTGGGCATTTAGGACAGGAGACAAAAGCATGTAGTCAGTTTGCCGACTAGTTCCACAGTATATTCTCTCAATGTTTTTAGGAGGCCAAGGCTTTCCTTGAAAATAGAGCAATTATGAGTAATAGGAGTTTGATAACCTTTAGGGGACACACCACTTAAAATAATTCAGTTCTTGTTGGAATCACTTTCAATTCTTTTGGCCAACTGCAAAGTTTTGCTTTTTATTTCTCTCATCCCTGTTAGCACTTAAGCTAGAGGCAATTTTTAACTTTGGATTCTCAAAGTCCTCCAGCTTGCTCAAGTTAACTTGACCTTTAAGATCTAAGTGAAGCTGGATTGAACCCCTGCCCCATCTATGTTTGAAATCCATTGTTTCTCCAAGTCCCCCCAAATATTTGGGGGACTTATTTTTCTTCAACTCACTGGATTCATTTTCTGTATTTGCTAAATTACTTCCTCACTGCATTTAAACTAAGGTGTGAAATCTGCCCCTATCCTTTTTTTTTTTTATACCAAGTCATTATTCCTTCTGGCCATTACCCCAAACCCTTTACTTCCCTAACACCACTAACCCATGGCTGTGTACAGCTGATCTGAAGGGAAAGTTGGGCTCAGCAAGCATCTTAGAGTTGAAAATTAGACATCTGTTTCTTAAAGATCTGGAGGCCATTCACACATTATCTCTTTAACTTAGCTTCTATTGTTTTACTAAGTATCTGGGTGCTTTTTTAGAATTCCATTTCCTCTTCTTAGCACCCCCATCTCTCATTCCTATTTATTTTTTATTCAATTAATGAACTGAATAATTCATTCTTGAATTGGGGTGTTAACAGCTAATTAAATATTGTTTAACGGAGTCTTACCACATATAGTTCACCAATTTTTGAAAAATGGAAATTAAATTGCAAATCTCTTATGATTCTAGTTTTGAAGTTTCAAATAGCCTCAAGATTTGGTATGATTATCTCCACAACTAATCAAGCTTTGTGGTAATTTTACATTTAATACATTATTGTATGTGTTGCTTTGGTACTGAAAATGTTCCTGTTTTGTATAAACTGTTTCCTACTTTCTACTCATGCAGCTGTTGGTATTAGGACAAGGATCAGTCAGGGTCCCAACTGGAAACAGATGACATGCTCAAATTAAAAGATATGCTTTAATTAAAAGATAAATGCTCAAATTAAAAGATAAATCAAGGATATTTACAAAGGGGTTGGCAGGATAGAGGAAACACCAGGTATAATCCAGTAGCAGCAAAACCGTCACCATGCAGAAAAGATACAGAAGGAGAGCTGCTACCAGTCCCCAAAAGGAGAGGTGTATGGGGGAGGTCCTATTGAGAGGAACCTTTGACTGGCTGAAGGATACAGCCAGCCCAAACTCACAGGGAGGGAGTCAGGGGAATAAATACCTTGACCTCTCCTTCCGGTTTCCTCTGATCTCCTAGAGCTCCTCACCGGCTTGACACAATGCAAATCCGGAGAGCAACGGAACTCCCTGATAAGCACAGCTCAGTATTCCTGCAGGAGCAGGGCAGAGCCTGGATGTGGAGGGCAAACAGATGGTATTGGGCGTAGGTTGCTTACTTTAATCAGAATAATTTTCTCTATTAACTATTTTCAGTTAATTAATCAGTACTCTGGTTGCCGGTGACAAAAACTCAACTTGAAGTAGTTTAAACTAAGAAAAGGAGACACTGGAGTAAGGGCAGGGAGGAGCTGATTTTAGGGAAATAATGCTACTGGGGCACATGCTGTTCCTCATCTCTGCACATTGCTTCTTTTTTAACAAAATGGGGACCTGGTCTCCAGCAATACTGAAACGACATCCTTAGAACAGTGTAATCAGACACAAGACGAGACTCTTCCAACTCCAAACAAAGTGTGGAGAAGAACTTTACTATGAGATCTAAATGAAGATTTACATAAATGGGATGGAAGAATAAGTTCAGAATATACCAATTTTTTTTTTGTCCTTTTTGTGACCGGCCGCACCGTGCTCAGCCAGTGAGCACATCGCACCGGCCATCCCTATATAGGATCCGAACCCGCGGCGGGAGCGCTGCTGCGCTCCCAGCGCTGCACTCTCCCAAGTGCGCCACGGGCTCGGCCCTAGAATATACCAAATTTTTAAAAATTAATGAGAAAATATAAATAACTAAAAAGATAAATAGGTGCATTCAATGAGAATTTTTATTTCAATTATCCACAAAACAATATTATAATACTTTATAAAAATATTAAGTTTTAGGCTACCATTATTAAAAAAGTGTTTGTGCCAGGAGGCTGTTTTGCCAACTTCCTTTTTTGGTAAGGGTTAAGTTCCATATTAAGACACTGAAGATGAAAAGCTGTTGAAAAAAAATCTTCAAATGTACAAAGTTTTTTTTTTCTTTTTTTCTGGCAATTTAAAAATACATACAATTTTAAATGAATACACAATGAGTTAGTGTTTTATCCTTACTGTACAATGGTTATTATAAGGAACTACTTCATTCACTTAAAACCTAATGAATACCATCAATTTTTCTGTGCTTAATGTTCTGATCAGAATTAGTATATAAACATACTTTTGTTACCCTTTTTAAAATGCTTACAAAAATTACAATATCATAGTTCACATAAAGACCTTTAAAAATCTCATGTCACGGGTTGTAGACATTAAGGGTAAATAATAACAGCACTCTTCTTAGGAAAAACCCTCGTGGTAAGGAGGGATTCAATGCTAAGCAGGTTACGTAAACAGAAGAAACAACCACGGTTTTTAGTACCAGAACTGTTGCCAACTTGGGTGAAGTTCATTCATCACATTTTAAAATGGTTTGAATTTGAACATATATATCATGGCAAAGAATTTTAAATTTAATGATTAAATCAGGTAATAATAGTTAAAAATTATATCCTAAACATATGGGAACCTAACATAATGCTTGACTTAAAGTGTGAGTATAAAATAGAGTATTTTAAAACAAAAATACCAGATGTTATTTATCAGAGTCAGTGTTTCCTTTGCTAAACACATAAACCAGTAATGCTGCTATTCGAATTCATATTTTGGAATTTCTTTCTGAGT